ATTGGGTTTTCTATTGTGCATGTGCTTCAAGCAAAACAGCGTATTGCAAGAGATTGAATGCAGAAGCAGGTATCAGAATGCAGTTGTCTTCTGTTAAGCCAAACATGAAAGATTCGTGAGCATTGGAAACAGTGCCATACCTCACTCTAATTCTTTTGGAAAATAGAGGTATTTTTTCATTAAAAATATGTTAACATGTCATGATTTTAGAATTATAAATAAATACATTTCTCATTTCTAATATGGTAAATATTGATAGAAAGACCTCACAAGCAAAAGCTCTTTGGAAACTTCATAATTTTTATGAATATAATTTTTAAGGTATCCTGACACCACAAAATTTGAGAAGTGCTGTTGAAGGATAGACATAGGAGTGATGCTACGGGTCACAGAATGTATTTTCAACTTTACAAGCATAGGCAAGCTATGTTCCATAGTGGTTTCACCAATTTTTATAATCACTAGCCTTGAATAAATATTTCTATTGTTTGCTACCTTGTCACTTCTTAGCATAGTCAGGTTTAAAAATTTTAGCCAATTGAATGTAATGGCATCTTATTGTGATATTAATTTCCACATGGCTCCTCATATGTTTATTGGTCACTTGGATAACTTTTTACTTGAAGGGGCTGCTTGTTTGAATCTTTAACTAACTTTTTTTATTGTGTTGTCTTTCTTTTTGATTTTTAGAAGTATTTCATATATTTTGGATATGGGTCCTTTGTCAGTTATATGTGTTTCAAATATCCTCTTCTATACTCTTAACTCTCTATGTAATTTTTGATGATGAGAGATACACTTAAGTTTTTAAAAATTGAATTAATCAATCTTTGCTTTATGTTTGATACTTTTGTTTCTTGTTTAAAAATTTTTCTCCTACCCCTAGATTATGAAGATATCCCCCTACATTATTGGTTGTGTCTTTCACAGCTAGGTCTTTAATCCTAGGTTAATTTTTATATGAAGTATGAAGTAGGATCTATCCTTTCCTTTCCCTTTTTCCTTTCCTTCTTTCTTCTTTCTTATACCAAATCATCCTAGCACCATTTAAAAACACTGTTCTCTTCCCTCTGACGTGTCATTGCACTGCTGTCCTATGTGCATGGGTCTGCTTCTGGGTCCTCATTTATGTTCCATTGTCTTGTCTGTCTGGTCCTCTGTTCTGTTTCAGTGTTTCACTTGTTTACCTGCACAAACACCGTGCCTTCTTAACCTCCAGATCATAGAACAAGTCTTTTTACTTAGCTCTTCAGTAGTGCCTTAGATATTCTTGGTCATTTGCTTTTCTACATAACTTTTGGATTCAATTTATCAAGTCAATCCACTTTCATAATTTAGTTTGTTAAAATAAAATAAAATGCTCTGACATGGTTCTCATTTGAATAGCATTGAATATATAAATCAATTTGAGAAGAATTGGCATCTTTATCACATTAAAGTCTTCTGTCCACAAGCATGAGATTGCTTTGCACAATTAGCTAGATCTTTAATGACTTGGCATACTTTTATGTTTTTCTTATGAGTCTTTCACTCTTTTGTTAGATTTTTCCCACCTTAGTATTCTTTTTAATTTTATCATAAATGGTATTGTGTTTGAACTGCTGGTGTTACATAGGAGTATAATTTTGCAGCTGGCTACCTTGCCTAAACAAATAATTTCAAGAGATTGTGTCAGTTTCTTTTTTTATTTTCCAGATATTTAATCTTCTCTATGTTTCATGATCGATGACACTTTTATTTTCTCTTCTTTAAACCAAATGCATTTTATTTTACTATTCTGGCCTTATTATACTGGCTGTAGAATAGTGAATTAAAGTGGTCACAGCAGACAATTTATGATATTCCCAGTCTGAAAATGTAAGCTTTAAATTTTACTATTAAGTTTAATGTTTCCTGCATTTATTTTATGTATCCTTTGTCATGTAAGGAAGCTCCCTTTATTCTTAATTATCTAACAAACATTTAAAAAATCATAAATGAGCCCTGGCTGGTGTGGCTCATTGGATTGAGTGCTGGCCTGTAAACCAAAGGGTCACTGGTTCAATTCCCAGTCAGGGCACATGCCTGGGTTGCAGGCCAGGTTCCCAGTACAGGGCAAGTGAGAGGCAACCACACATGGATATTTCTCTCCCTCTTTTTCTCCCTCCCTTTCCCTATCTAAAAAGTAAATAAATAAAATCTTTAAAAAATTTTTAAATAATAAATGAATGTTTAATTTTATCATATTCATGAACTACATCTAATGAGATCATATAGTTTTTTTCTCATAAACATAATATAATGAATTTCATTAATTTTCTAATGTTAAACTAAACTCTATTCCAGGGATAAATTCAGATTAGTCATACTGCGTAGGTCTTTTGTATATTCTGCATGTATATTATTCAATATCATCATATAATGTCTACATATATTTGAATCTACATCAAATACATACAATTTTAAAGTTGTGCAATAATGAAATGTTATGTATTTTATTTTGTACTTAGTAATACAACCCTACCAACTTCTTTTGAGATATAATTGACACATAACATTCTATAAGTTTAAGGTATACATTGTGTTGATTTGATATATTTACATATTACAGTATGACTGCCACTGTACCTTAGCTAATTTCTCTATTATGTCACATAAGTATAATTTCTTTGTTGTGGCGGGAACAATTAATATCTAGCTTCTTAGTGACTTTGAAGTTTATAGTGCAGTATTATTTATAATTATCATGCTGTACATTAAATATCAAGAACTTTTTATCTACTACTTGCGCCCACCAGCTCTATATTAGAAAGCATTGGATTGGCTGAAAAGTCCCTTTAGTTTTTTCCTTAAAAAAAAAAGACATGTTTTTCATTTTCATCAATAACTTTTTTGATTTGTATATTTTTATTATGTTGGCTTTCTCCTATATGGTATAATGTTGATTGTTCTCAATTACTGTGTTCATTTGATCGATATCAACTTCAACTGGTCTACCCTATCATGAAGCATCATCTAGCAAGAAATCTCCAGCACGAAACTTCACAAACCACTTTTGACACGTTTGATCAGTCACAGCACCTTCTCCGTACAGTGCACACATCTTTTTTTTTTTTTGAGTTTCAGTTGCAATTTTACCTTTCTCAAAATAATAAAGCAGAATATACCAAAAAGTTGCTTATTTTCTTCCATCTTCAATATTGAAATGGCTACACAAAAACTCACCAATTTTGATGTTTTTTTAATACTCACTGATATGACAGTCGTCACAATACAATCTTACAAAATTATTTCAAATGAAGTTAAAAACAACTAAGCACTACTAGAGCCATCTTATGAAACTAAACTAAAAACTAAAAACTAAACAAGATTTTTGGCTAACCAAATATTTCTATGATATATTGCTTTTTGTATCTTTTTGTTTCAGATATTATGAACTAAGTCCAATCTGACAACCTTAACCTTTTCTAATCCTTAGAAATGTGGTTTAGTTTTTATTATTTATATATGAAGAAACTTACTGTGTTTTATCAGTAAACTTAAATTGTAAATCCATGAGAAAGGGTGAACTGAATAGAAATTAGCACGTTGCAATGGCTATGAATTTCTTTCTTTTCCTTTTTATTGAATTTATTGGTGTGGCACTGCTTAACAAAGTGATACGTTTCAGGTGTACAGCTCTATAGTACAGCATCTGTACACTGTATTGTGTGTTCACCACCTCAAGTCAAGTCTCATTTCATCACCTTTTATCCCCCCAAACCCTCTCCTACCTCTGACACCCTTCCTCCCCTGCCAATTACCACACTGTTGTCTATGTCAAATTTTATTCTTTTTTTCCTTTTTGCTCAGTCTTCCATGCCCTGACCAAGCCCACCAAGCCCTCTCCTCCATGGAGAGCTGTCGGTCTGCGCTCCATCTATGAGTGTCTCTCTAGACAACCTTCTTTGTTAACCGAAGATTTACTCTGATTATATTTAATAAATTACTCATATACTTGCTCCTGTAACATTGAATTTTGTGCTTTTTAATTGTACTACATGATTTATATTTTTCTGCTTCCTCGTGTAAGTTTTAAGGCTATAAGCCTTGAAATGGGCCTACTTTTCATTATCATTCAATTATCATTTTCTCATTTCCATTACATTTCTTCTTCGACTCATGCTTTATTTTGTAATAGGTTTCTTCTTTTCCAAAATGTAAACAGTTTCTAGCTATATTTCTGGTATTGATTTCTGGCTTATCTTCCAGTGGAAAACATGAAGAAAACATGTGTTCCGCAGGTGGTGTAGACTGGGTGTTGTTTGTCCGGTACGTTAGTTTGCTGTTCTTTTTTCAGATCTGTCATATCTTTAGCCTGTTTGTTCTATTGATAACCTAGAGAACCTTGTGTTAAAATTTCCCACTAAAATCAGGGATTTTTCTTTTTTCTCTGTATTTGTGAGAACATACTTACTTCTTGGTCTTTTCACACCTTTGTGCAGTGGTTTCACTGGGATGGCGTTTTGAGAAAGGCGACAAAGCCTTGACATAGTACAATCTTTTGACCTGCTCGGTTTCCACAATTCTGGGGACAGAAGCGACTCTGGTTACATCTACATTATCTACTATCTAGAGTTTGAGCGAGCCACGTTAGATGAAAAGATCCATGGGTATTTTGAGGTACCCCGCTGGGGCCTTTGGTCTCCACCTCTGCTGTGCAGGCAGTTGGTTTGCCTTATGTAGCTGGGGATGTTTTCCTTCCAGTCCCCATAAATGTATTGGTTAGCAGTATAGCTCTGCCTAAGCACGGGATAACTGATTCCTCACCAGGTTTTGGTGATACAGTGACTTAGTTCTATCCCAGTGATTGTAACCAGCCTGTCAACAGTTTGTGTTTCTAGATTCAGGGACCTCTGGTTGAGGTCTGTGTCAACAGCTTTACAGGGTGAAGGAGGTGAGCGCCCAGAGACAGGTCATTCTTTAGAATGCAAGGATTGTTTTTATTTAACTTATGAGGTTTCTCTCTCTTTTATCTTCAGTTATTTGAAGGACTGAAGGCATTTCGAGGAGTAGATAATAAAATTCGACTCTTTCGGCCAAACCTCAACATGGATAGAATGCACCGATCTGCTCTGAGAGCAACTCTGCCGGTACGTAAATTCAGGGATTTCTTTTGTGTTTCTCTTGATGTGATGGTTCACTGTGAGTCTACCACCAAAGAAATCATTCCAGAATACTTTGAACACTGGAGTTATGTCTGTCTTACTTTGTAATTAGTGAGGAAAACATATGAAGAAGGAACCAATACCAATGGAAATTCCACGATCTATTTCTTTAAATGTCTGTGGGGAATTAATGTGTATGTAGGAGATAGAAGGATAAGAAATAAAAACATGCTTCAAACTAAAATAGATACAATTTAAAGACTGTGTGAAATTGTAACACTGAAAATGGAAAACATGGTGTGCAACACAGGTATTTTGGGGATATTTTGCCTAATTGCTTTAGACACTAGCAAGTGAACAGTTATTTAATTATAATCTTGACATTTTACCCAAGTTTTATTTTTAAAAAGTGTGAAAATGGTTTCTCATGGCCACTGGATCCTGGCTATGACGTTGTTGTGGAGTGGAATTCATTATAAGGTGGGTTAGATTCCAGTGCTAAGATTACATGTATGTGGAGGTGAAGTGGATTACTTCCATCCCTGAAGGAGTGACCAGGCCACCTTTCTGAAAGGAGAGTCTTTTCCCTCTTTTCCACATTCTGAGTACCTAGCCTTCAGGAACCTAGCCCAAGCTGTGCACTAAAGACACTGAACTCAAGTAACTGCTCCCTATTAGCCAGGCTCTTCCTTCTCCCTGTTTTTGTAACCCATGCTTCGCCCACCTCCTTCAGAGGCCGTATAGTAGGATAGGGGAAGGGAAATTAAGGTAGGTTCTCTGCACTTGGTCCTAGTTTCCTTACTCTACCATTACAGGTGTGTCACTGGGGAAAAATTAAAGTGGGGGCAGAAGGAAAAGGAAGTAACGTTTGGATATCGAGTCTGCTACAAACTGTGTCATGTAGTTTTACATTCTGTATGTCTTTAATCACAGCAGTAAGCAATTGTCAAGAAAGTATGTATTATAAATTTGGTAACAGCTTTGTTCAGAGAGGAGCACTCAAGCCCTGAGAGGTTAAATGACTTGTCTAAAGTCACACAGAATGAATGGTAAGAAAGTGTATGCAAGTTTTAAAATTCTTAATCAGGTTCTCTTTCCACTAAATCTTATTTCTAGACAGCAGTGCCAGAGACCCAAGCAGGTGAAGCAGGGTGAGGATATGTCCTATATGATTGGCCACCCCAGTTTCTGTAATATTCCCACACTGTGGTTACTGTTAGAATAAAAAGCTAAATCCTGGGGTCATGGGCTCTATTCAGATGCCTGTTTCTGACTTACTTCTCTGCTGGGTAGCCCATCATGAGTCTGAAAGCATGTTTCTCTTTCCTGCCAAGTGAGTAGAAACTACTTTTTTGACAAATTGTCACCATTTAGCCTATGAAAATCATCTCCTCCTTAGAAATACACTGCACTTAGCTTTTGCCCTTTTTAAAAAACTGGGTAATATGTCTTTTTCTTACTAATTTTTAGGATATGATAACATATTCCAGTACAATCCTTTGTTGGTTATGTTACAAATAACTTCACTTAGTTTACTGCTTCTTACATCTTCTGATGAACAGAAGTGCTTAAATTTTAAGTGGTCAAATTTTATCCATTTTTTCTTTATGAGATGTGCTTTATACATCTTATTTAAGAATTATTTTCTACCTTAAGGTGACAGTGATAGTGGTTTGTTTTTTAAGATAAAAGTCTTATGTTTTACACACTTAAGTGTATGATCCAACTGTAGCTGATATTTGGATGCGGTAAGAGGTAGAGATCCAACTTTATATTTTCCACATGTGGATAATCTATTGTCCCTTTATAATTTCAGGGGGAAAATATAACAGAAAGAATTTCTTGTTTGGTTTTATTACCTTTTTAACAGTCTAAAGCTCTCATGAGGATGATTTCCTATGCTCCAAATGAAGAAAATTTCATTATATATTATGCTTTTTATTTCTTTAGGGATTTGACAAAGAAGAGCTTATGGAGTGTATTCAACAGCTTGTGAAATTGGATCAAGAATGGGTCCCATACTCAACATCTGCTAGTCTGTATATTCGTCCCACATTAATTGGAACTGAGGTACCAACGGACTCCCAGTTTTGGGATACTTTGATGGGGATGTTATTATTGTGTATTCTGGTGTGAAACTTGTAGTGTGCAGTGTGAACTAGCCCCCAATATCATCATTAATGACTCCTTTCTTCTGATCATCAAGCCCAGGTGTCAAAAAACATTTTCTGTAAAGTGCCGGAGAGTAAATATTTTAGGCTCTGCAGGCCATCTGGTTTCTGTCATGGCTACTGAGCTCTCTGCCGTTACAGCCCAGAAACAGCCACGGAGCTGAAGGTGAATGAGTTAAAGGAATGAGCAGGAAGTGAGGCAGTTCGCCTTCCTCTAATCGAGACTAACCGTTATTTCCTCAGTTTACCAGTCTAGTCTCTCCGGTCCCTCTGGTCCTTCTTCGGGTCTAGCAGTGGTAATGGTTTTGAAATTTGGAGGAGGGAGAGCTACTTCTTTTTATTTTCATAAAAATAAAAAGAAGACTTCCTGAAGCCTTGGGATTACTTGATAAGGAGTAGGAATGAAGGGCCCTCTTCCCCCATAACCAGTGAGTAGGGATTGCTAATAAAAACAGTATGCTCCCAACTTAAAGGACACATGGTCAAAAGCTAGGGGGAGGGTGGTAATGGGAGGGAAGTGGGGAGGGTGGGAGGGAGGGCTGGATTGGGAGTAAAAAGGAGAAAACTGTGTTTAACAATGATTAAAATTAAATAAAAAAAAATAGTATGCTCCCAGTGGGTGGGAATTTGAAAAACAATTTTTATAAAGTTCATATTATTAAGCAAAATACTAAACATTAATATGTGAGCCTCTTGTAAAACATCTAAATTAAAAGGCACAATCATTTATATTACTAAAATATTTCTCAAATTAAAAAAGAATTTCAGAATTCATTTTAATTAACGTTTTTGGAAGTATTTATTTGTACATAGTTAAAAACTTTAAGAGAAACTGAAAGCTTGAGTGCTTCAAACTACTGTGAATTGCAAATTAAGATAAAATCTAAACTCATAATATTTAAATAGAGAATATCTACACATAAATTTTTTCTTTACCAGAGAAGAAGCCAAAATTATATGACTGTCAAGTTCAATACTGGATATCTAATAATCCTACATCTAAAAAAGCCAAGGTTTGCTGATTTCCACATCTATTTTATCCAACTTCACCCTATTTAATAACTCTGGGCAGATACACCCACATGCATGCCTGTGGGCTTTTTATTTCCTCAGTGTTTCTGATAAGTGAACAGGTGCTCTGATCACAGTCAATAGCAAGATACGCACAACCACGACCTCTGAAATTCCTTTGGTTGTTGCTTCTAGCCTTGTACTTATCCACTCAGTCCCAGTTCATGACTCTCTGCATTCGAGAAGTGGTGGAGTGAGGCGGGACTAAATAACATCAGGGCTGAGAGTAAGTGTCATTAGGAAGGTTGAGTCTGATGGTAGAGCCAACCCTCCAGGCGGTCTGGAGTCAGCTCACCCAGCCCTTTGACCAGGTCCCAGGCTGTCGACACACATCTGTGAGCTACCAGTAGATCTGACTTCACTGCACTCAAAAGACACACTGACCTTGCCTCATGTGGAAGGTGATTAATTCTTCATATTCACTTAACTCATACTTCCATATTGGAGTGCCCCTAAATACATTTCTGGAGTTGAGCTCAATGAGAGAACTGACCTGCTTTGGTTAATACCAGCCTCCGGTGCACAGAATGCAATTTGAATAATGCATAAACATTTTAAGTCACTTCATATAGGCAATTTCCCCATTCATGACTTGATTGGAAGTCTTTCAGTATGAAATTTTCATTAGAGCTCGCATTTAAAAATCTTGCTGCCAAAGATCAAAATCTCTTTGATTTGTGTTTCATTCCACAGGGAGCTTAAGGGCATATACATTTTATAGATATGTCTTTTCTTTTCCTTTTATCACCTTGCGAAATCATGACGTTACACTTATAGTTTAACCAATAATCATAGGAGTTCCTTAAAAAGAATTTCCTTTATACACTGCATTTGTTTATTTATGCTTATATATCTTATCTTTTCTCTCACAATTAGCTTCCTTAAAGGAAAGAAGCTGAATAGATTTGAAAACTAGGTGTTACAGCAACAATTTGTAATCGTTAACTTGGGTTTGCCCACTTTTAATGTGTGCTTCTGCATCCTTATTTGAGATATTTTTATATATTCATTCTACTGTTTACAAACTATTAAATTCTCATTTGCATAACTCTGTGAGCCTGTTTCATATTAACAGCCCCATTTTAGTAGCTGCAAACCTTGAGTCTGTTTTTAGAGATCCAGCTTATTTGCATTGATTATAGCATATGATAATCAGCTTGTTATTATCAGGCCACTCCTACCAATGGACACCTTCGTGAGGCTGTTCTTGTCCATTTGAACTTTTTCACAGAGGGCGATTGTTATTACCTTTATTTTTACTTTTTGGAGTAATGGTGTACCTGGTTATTAATTACACCTCTCAGTTCATGGCACTTGCTATCGTGGGTTGTATGGGTCCCTCTGTTTGTTTGTATTTTCCCTTTAGTCTTTATTTTCCATCCTTCCCCCGTTGGAAACCGTTCTCATGTATCGTGTGAATATTCTTTGGTTTGTATGTGTTTTTAAGTATCTTTTATTCCTTTGTAAGTCTGTAGTTTTAATTTGCATAAAGGATTATAGATCTCATTGTGTTTCTTAACATTTTCCCTTAGCCCTGCTGTTCATTTCTCTCCAGGTTACTCTGTATTTTCAGTCTGTCACTTCTGACTGCTGCACAGTTCCCCACAATGGACATCTGTCTACCACACTTTGCCCCAGGTCCTTTACTGGGATTCCATTTTTGCTGGTACTTCTCGTAATACTGCAATGAGCAGTTTGAAAATGTATAGCCAGGGAATTAGTGAAAGAGTCACTGTTTCCCAGGAAGATGCCCATGGTCCCTCTTACTGTTTCCATCCCTAGAAAGCCCTGTTTCTTGCCAGGAAAGTTCCACTTCTCTTTGATGAAATAGCCATTTGGTTTGTCGGCTTCAGCATCACTGGTATTATGAAGCTCTCCTTAGTGTCAGTGTGCTCTGTGCTTTCCATGCACTAACCGACAACAGCCCTGTGAGTAGGTGCTACTGGCATCCTTTTAGAGATGAGGACACTGAGGCCCAAAGAGGTGAAATAAGAACCCCCAGGCTCTTAACCTGTTTGCTTCAGCATCTTTATGTGTTAGCCACTGTGCTAGGTCTAGGGATACAGTGCTGAGCAGAAGCCTTTTTCCTGCTCCCAGTCTGTGGGAATTCCTTTGTTAGATAAATGTATTGAATGTGTAAATAGTTTTCCAGTCTGGGGCTTGTTTTTTGTGTCTCTTCACTCTCTGATTAGTAGTTAATTTTAGTGTAATTAGTTTTTTCTATGTTTTGTGATTTTTATGTATTAAAGAAATTTTTCCTTACTCCAAGGTCATCTTTGTTTTGTATTTTAGAGTTTTGCTTTCTCCAATTAAATGAAACCCATTTGGAAGTGAACTTTGTGTGAAGTATTTAACTTTATTTCTCTCCATATGATTACCAAGTTCTTCCATCACTGTTTATTGAATGGTCCAACCTTTCTTCCCTGCTTTATGGGGCCAGCTGTTGGTTGATCTGTTACATTTCCCTAGATGAACACTGTTTCTGGATCCCTGTCTGATCTTGTTCTCATTCTCTCTCTCTGTCTCTCATGTCCTTTTTTTCAGAAAACATAAATGGTAGCAATACTGTGCACCATTTGTATCATTGTCTTTGCATTTACAATTTGCGTAAAGATCCCTCTGTGTAGTATACTTGAATATACTTCTTGTTTTTCCATTTTCCTAGCTGTAAGGTATTCATACCATCATACATATATACCATGCTTAATTGATTACAAGATGCCATAAATTATAAGATACACCATTACTTCGTGCACTGAAATAGAAAAACATTGCCAGTCAACACTATGATAGCATTTTCCCAATACTCCTGAGTGATTCATGATTATTGGTCATACCAGGCTTTTTTTTTTTAATGCATATTTTCTGAGGACATCTGGAATTTCTCCTGCCATCAGTTGCACTTCTGGGCTTGTGATATGCGTTTTTCTTTTTCTGTGTATCTTAATAATAAAAGCTAACACTGCTTTATCTTTCTGTGCATTTGTTCCTGTCACAGGTCCCATTAGAAGACATGGTTGTTGCTTTGCAAGAAAATATTAAATTGCATTTGTTTAATGTTATTATACATATTTGTTCCACTAATATCAAATACATGTCCTACTCCTGTTTTTGTGCCTTTCTATGCAATAACTTTCTTTTTAGTTACTGTATGATTTAGCTAAATCATACCATAACTTTTAGAAGACATTTCCAATGGCAGACTTGACATGTATAGCATTACCAATGCCCACGACACATTGGAGTTCCCATGAGTGTGAACGGCTAATTCCAAGCCTGCCAACGTCAGCCTTGCCATGACTGTTATTTAGCAATAGCAATTGTAAAATTCTGAGTTCACATTTCAGACATGCTAAGTGTGAAAAAAAATGGACATTTTAGAATTTGTGAAATGCGGTAGCATAATTTATATAGTGAGTGCCCTGTTGATCAGCCATAATGTTGACATAACAAACATTAGAATCACTATTTGAAAACTGACTAAAGCAGAAGAATTACATTTGGGAATCTTAAAAATCCAGGCTTTTTTAAAGGAACATATGCTGCAGACATATCCCCTAGTACACGGAAAGACATACATTTAAGGACATCTATTGCAGCTCACACAGTTTGCTGATAAACAGTGTGAGTGTGAGAGGAGACGTGTCAAGTTTTCCTTTGAGCCAAAGCAACTGACTAGCAACCATTTGTTGTGATGAAGAAGAGTGAGGGGGGAGGGTTTTTTTTTGTTGTTATTTATTTGTTGAAGTGGTGATGGATGGAATCAAGAGTTTAGTTTTGGATGTGGTCATTTAAATTAGTGATGTCAAGTAGGTAGGTAGATTTACA